GAGATATTTAGACCTCCCACTGTGATTGAGGCACTGTGCCTTTAACGCCGGGTCAGGTGACTGACCCCGGCGTGTATAAACCTGGGCGGTCTCCCAGCGTGCAGCGTCATGCATGCTGCCGCTGGGGGACGTGGAGGGAACGGCGGGCGGCATCCGAGGCTGGAAGGATGCCGCTCGCCGTACCCACGAGGCGGAGGGGACCGCGGACGGCTGGAGGGTGAGTACTGCGAGCGGAGTGCAGCCTCCCCTCGCAGCCGCCCGCGGGAGCCTGACATCAGCCCCATATTTGTGACAAAGTGTGTATCACAATTTAAATTCAATCTATCATGACAGTTTCACTTTAGCGTACAAAAACACCCAAGGCACTTAATATATGATTTATCATAGTATAGATCATATATTTATGTGTGTTGGCAACTGTTATATTGTGACTCCAGACAATCCATGAGTGCTACAGTGCTGCCCCCTGTCAGTTGTTATTGGCCCTGCTTGATATCAATATATATGTATACATATTCCACATGAATTAATCACACAAACTCAATGGCACGCCCCCAGAAAAGCTCACTGGCACACACAAACACACAAACGTACTGCAGACTCTGAAACACACACAAGTTTAATACAGACAAATTCAGTGAATCACACAGAAGCTCTTTGATCTCACTGCCACATACACAAAAGCTCACTACAGACAAGCTCACTCACACAAACACACACACAAGCCCACTACACACAAGTTCCCTGACACCCACAAGTCACTACAGAGAAGCTTACTGACACCCACACAAGCTCACTGACACACACACAAGCTCATACAGGCAAGCTCACTGACACACACAAGCTCACTACAGACAAGCTTAGTGACATTCACACAAGTTCACTGACACCCACAAGCTCATTACAGGCAAGTCCACTGACACCCACAAGCTCAGTGACACACACAAGCTCACTACAGACCTGATCACTTACACACACACACAATCACTATCAGTCATTGGAAGCTGAGAACACTTGCATGTACCTGTTATTGGCAGTAGAGATTCTCCAGGCAGTATACACTTGCACAGCAAGTTGGACTTCATTCATACAATAGATTCTGTGTTGTGTTTATAAGGGCACAAATCCATAATGATTAAACATCACATGTTATCTTGAAATAGCTTAGAAGAAGAACATACATATCAAAAACCTATGGGGGGAGGGATTTAGGAGAATCCTTGTAGTGTCAACTTGAAGATTACTTTACATATTTGATAAAAGTTAGGAAACAAGTTGGTTTAAGTAATACATTAGATCTGTTTCTTTCATGTTTAGAATACTTTGACACTCTTGATTTCTTTATACCAGTGCCAGGAAAAATCCATCTCTATAGCCTGATCCTCCTCCAGTGATGTCATATATTCATATGAGTTTTGTTCAATCAGATACGTCTCATAGAAAAGTAATGAGGACACACAATGCATTCATGCCAGTAGCCATGATCCACCAACCCAATGCTTCTATGTGAGATGCATTAGTCGTTTTTGGCGTTATAATGCTGTGAAGTCCTTTCACAATGAAAGAATGCAAACAGGAAGTGACTCTCGTGGCCATCGAGACAGCGTCTAGAGATGTATTTTCGACCAAATTAAAAAAATTAAATTTCACATAAAGTCACTGTTTTACATTGTCCATGAAAAGGACATCAAAACCACAACATTCCTTTTTTAATATTTAATCTTTATCTTGCTTTTTTTTTTTTAACCATGTTAGCAAAAACATAACACATATCTATATTATAAAAAAAAAGCTTACATACTTTATGACATACCCTTACATTACAAACATACACTGAACAAAATTATAAACACAACACTTTAGTTTTTGCCCCCATTTTTCATGAGCTGAACTCAAAGAACTGACTTTTTCTATGTACACAAAAGGCCTATTTCTCTCAAATATTGTTCACAAATCTGTTTAAATCTGTGATAGTGAGCACTTCTCCTTTGCCGAGATAACCCATCCAACTCACAGGTGTGGCAAATCAAGATGCTGATTAAACAGCATGATTATTGTAGAGGTGTGACTTAGGCTGGCCACAATAAAAGGCCACTCTAAAATGTGCAGTTTTACTGTATTGGAGGGGATCTGGGGGAGGGGTGGTCCGAAAACCAGTCAGTATCTGGTGTAACCACAATTTGCCTCACGCAGTGCAACACATCTCCTTCGCATAGAGTTGATCAGGTTGTTGATTGTGGCCTGTGGAATGTTGGTCCACTCCTCTTCAATGGCTGTGCGGAGTTGCTAAATGTTGGCAGGACCTGGAACACACTGTCGTATACGCCAATCCAGAGCATTCCAAACATGCTCAATGGGTGGACATGTCCGGTGAGTATGCTGGCCATGCAAGAACTGGGATGTTTTCAGCTTCCAGGAATTGTGTACAGATCCTTGCAACATGGAGCCGTGCATTATCATTGTCATGGATGAATGTCATGGATGAATGGCACAACAATGGGCCTCAGGATTTTGTCACGGTATCTCTGTGCATTCAAAATGCCATCAATAAAATGTACCTGTGTTCGTTGTTCATAACATACGCCTACCCATACCATTATTCCACTGCCACAATGGGCCACTCGATCCACAACATTGACATCAGCAAACCGCTCACCCACATGATGCCATACATGCTGTCTGCCATCTGCCATGTACAGTGAAAACCGGGATTCATCCATGAAGAGAACACCTCTCCAAAGTACCAGACACCATCGAATGTGAGCATTTGCACACTCAAGTAGGCAGATGCAGATGAGCTTCCCTGAGATGGTTTCTGACAGTTTGTACAGAAATTATTTGGTTATGCAAACCGATTGTTGCAGCAGCTGTCCGGGTGGCTGGTCTCAGACGATCTTGGAGGTAAAGATGCTGGATGCGGAGGTCCTGGTTGGGTGTGGTTACAAGTGGTCTGCGGTTGTGAAGCTGGTTGGATGTACTGTCAAATTCTCTGAAACGCCTTCGGAGATGGCTTATGGTAGAGTAATGAACATTCATTTCATGGGCAACAGCTCTGGTGGACATTCCTGCAGGCAGCATGCCAGTTGCACGCTCCCTCAAAACTTGCAACATCTGTGGCATTGTGCTGTGTAATAAAACTGCACATTTTAGAGTGGGCTTTTATTGTGGCCAGCCTAAGGCACACCTGCGCAATAATTATGCTGTCTAATCAGCATCTTGATATGCCACACCTGTGAGGTGGATGGATTATCTAGGCAAAGGAGAAGTTCTCACTAACACAGATTTAGACAGATTTGTGAACAATATTTGAGAGACATAGGCCTTTTGTGTACATAGAAAAAGTCTTAGATCTTTGAGTTCAGCTCATGAAAAATGGGGGCAAATACAAAAGTGTTATGTTTATAATTTTGTTCAGTGTATATACAAATACATACGTAAATACTAACATAGGACTTGGTGTTAGAGAATCTATAAGTGACTTCCTTATGTATACAAAGCAACTTCAAATATTTAGTCATACGTATAGGCTCATATGTTCTCCCCCATTCCCATTTTCACCCATTTCCTTGAGAAAATAATTCCAAAGAGAATAACCACTGCATTCTTAGACTACATTAATGCAGAATTTCAACCACCAGTCTGGTCTTTACTAAGCACCTGTAAATATAGTAAATGGTTTGAACATTTCTTTATATGAAGTTATGAAGTTGAGAAGTTGATCTCCATTTTCCTCCTGTCCTGTATCAGTGAATGCAAGGATTGATGGGCTTGGACTAATATGGCAAAATATGGCAGATGATGCCACTTGCTGCACTACATGTCAACGAGACATGGAGTGAATGTAAAATCCCCCCCAAAAAATTTAAGTAAGTAAGGAGGAAGAGCCTTTAATGGCTTTCAGTGTTTTGGTCAAACGTAAATATTGCTGTGACTCTGAAATGGTAAATGTTTACATTGTCCAAGAAACAGTACATAGCTATGAGGTCATAGAAGTGTTTTGTTTATGTGCCATATGACCATAGGCACATGTCAAAAGGACTTAGGCCATACCTTTGCTGTTAAGTATTAGAGATATTTTGTTAATTAATATTTTTTTTTTATAATAACATAGTTATGAGTACTAGCTGTCAGAATACTTGTAGGCCATCGAGTGTAAGAAACAAAACAAAACAATTATTATTTCAGTAAAAACAAACTATTCAAGTAGTACATATGACTCATGGCTAAGACAATCTGTACTATGGGCAATACTTCTGTGACTAATAATCAGTCACAGTAATAGTCTTAAAAACTCTCTCACTCTTTAAATATGAATTCTAATTTAATTTCAGGATGGCACTAATTTTCAGGCAAGCAAAAGAGGCACTCAGGCACTCAGGGATTTCAAACCAAAGTCATGCTTATTGGGTCAAAGAAAGTGACAGAGCAGCAACATTTCGACCTGCTACGAGGTCTTCGTCGAGCTGAATGAAATAAATTTTGACATAACTTCGGATTTACATTTTAAAAATTATTATTTGCATAGTGCTTTGCAATGGGTTCACAAGATATACAACTAAATTCAGCATCATATGTTTTAACGTACAGGTCTACACCTTACAGTCTAAAGGAAACGGGGTACAATTCCACAAAAGTTTATTGTAGCGTTCAAAGTAAATATGGATTGCATGTGTATTGTGAAAAATATAGTAATCTAATTACATGCAGTCTAATTAGAAATCTGGAGATTTCTGCTTTTTTAAATCACACTACCATCTTGTTTTTTTTGTTTTTTTTTTTTACAAATTTATGTTTATTAAGATTGTATTTTAAGAACACTGAAAGGACATATTGTGACTTTCAGTGCTTGCAGGTCACATACTGAGACTTGCAGGCCACATAGACGAAGTGTAGACTAGCAGGTCTCAAAATTTGCAAATAGTAATGTCCCGAACGGTTTGCCGAACGGTTCGCCACGGACTCATCATTGAGTAAAATTTGACCCTGTACCTCACAGTCAGCAGATACATTCCAGCCAATCAGCAGCAGACCCTCCCTCCCAGACCCTCCCACCTCCTGGACAGCTCACTAAGAATGCAGCTTCACAATGAATGTAAAATGGATGCTGTCCAGGAGGTGGGAGGGTCTGGGAGGGAGGGTCTGCTGCTTATTGGCTGGAATGTGTCTGCTGACTGTGAGGTACAGGGTCAAAGTTTACTCAATGATGAGTCCGTGGCGAACCGTTCGCGAACCGTCCGGCGAACCGTTCGGGACATCACTATTTGCAAAGTAAAGGAAATTCAAATATCTCCATACAGATTGTCAGCAGCATGGTCTAACAGTAGACATTGATATTCAACTTGGATTTACTGGCCAGTATCTGAAAATTCAAAGGAGATTTAGGTAGAAAAAAGCACAGGAAAAGTAGGGAAATAACAGTAAGAAGAGAGACAAATTAAAAGGGGGGAGTGGGTAGAGGTTGTCTCCATCACCCATCTTACTCTTCCACGCAACCTAGATTCTCTGACAAATGAAAAGGAGCGCTAAGGTCTATCAGGAAGTATCTATACTAGGGAAACTGTGCAGTTTTGAGTATTTGGTACCCATGCTGACGAATTATTTATTTTAAAGAATAATGCATTTTAAAAAATATATGTTTTCAAATTCTCAAAGACTGAGAGCCATGAGCAGCAAACTGTACATATATCAACTGTTTATCATAATTTCATGTAATTATTATGCATATGCATTTTATGTTTTAAATAATTGTCATCATTATTATTTTTGTTACCGGAAAAAGTCTGCATTATCTTCAGAGTAATATTAGTTTTGATACTGCTGCATAGTGCTGACCCCTTTCCAAAATATGAAATGTTATGGATCATAATAAATGGTTTTAATATTAGCCCCATTTTTTGCAGTGATTATATTTTTTCTGTAAAAATACCTTCCTGTGCAAAACATGCATTATCTCTTTAATCAACACAGCATGGTTACCAGTCTGCATCATGGAAACTCTAAAGTAGCACAAACAGCAATTATTATATTTTTATTCATTTTCTATTTTCCCACAATTGCAAAAATACAAAACTAAACACATCAAGTATAAAGACAATTAAAAATACATTTTGTAAAATATTGAACATTATAATTAAAATATAAAATGTGAAGCAATAATTACTCCCTGAATAGATTCATATCTGTATTTCTTTGTATCTTGGGATGCTCCCCCCCATCTCTCCCTCCTCCATGGGATTTTGTGTTAAAGGACCAAAATATAAAATATGGTCAGTATGTATGGTATGCACTATGAAGATCTGTAATTTTAAAGCCTTTTTTTGTATTTTCTAATGACTAGAGACCATCGTGTTTGGTTCTTTCCTTTTTGTTTTGAAGTTTGTCAGTGTTTTAGAATCATTAAATCTTAAAGTAGACTGACCAATGTTTGACTTGAATAACAAGAGTACTGTGATCTGTAGGGTCGTTGGGATGTCAAATATGGTATTTCTGATGATATGTAACTGTTTGTGTTTTTTATATTTGAAAAAATCAATAAATATAATATTTAAAAAAAATGTGAAGCATAACCATGGCTTTAAAATATTTCAGATACATTACAAAATAATAGTTTTTAAAATGCACCTTATAGCCTATTTATTCATTGAATATGTAATTATTCGGGTTTAAATGACTTTATCGATAACAAATTACCCGATGTTTATAATCAAATAATAAACTGATGTATATATACACATATATACACACACACACACACACACACACACACACACACACACACATACACACAAACACACATACATATATATTTGCTTACAAGGGATCCTACTGAAATAAAAGATCGATTGGTAAATGAGTTCCCCATCCGATATAAATTTAAAGAATGAAATAATGTACACAATGTCTGGTAACAGTCTGCATGGAAATACAAATGGGAAATGTAGAAACATCGGCTGAATTGGAACCTGAGAAAAGGCACTTGTATCTCTCTGCTTATACCTCTAACAGCCATACCTTCTAGCAGGCCCGGACTGGCCATCGGGCACACCGGGCACACCGGGAAAATGCCCGGTGGGCCGCGGTGGCCGTGGGGCCGAGGCCGGCAGGGGAGGTCCCAGGATCTCCCCTGCCGGTCTATGCAGGGCCGGCACTCTCCTAGCGCCGGCCCCGCTGTTTGCCACGACGGGCCTGTGGGGAGATCAAGGATCTCCCTCACCGGCCCACATGCGGCCGCCGGCGGGGAGGGAGGGAGGGAGCCAGGCTGGAGAGAGGATCCGGCGGAGCTCTAACTTGCAGCTCCGCCGGGTTCCTCTCGCGAGATCCGGCGCGTTGCCATGGCTAGAGTTCACTCACCCACAAGGACCACCAGGGAACACCGCCACCCCGCCTCCCAGCGTGCCGGACCTCCCCTCCCAGGCTAAAGGTAAGAAGGGAGGTGGGGACATAGTGTCTGTTTTTTTTATTTTTTATTTACCCCCCCCCTACACACACACAATAACATTTATACAGCACTCTCACACCCATCACACACAGCACTCTCACACACATCAAACACAGCACTCTCTCACACAGCATTCTCTCACAGCACTCTCACACCCATCACACTCACAGCACTCTCACAGAGCACTCTCACACACACTGCACTCTCTCACACTGCACTCTCTCACACCCATCTCACACACCCATCTCACACAGCACTCTCACACATCACTCTCACACAGTACTCTCACACGGCACTCTCACACCCATCACTCACATACAGCACTCTCACACACATCACACACACCCTCACACACACACATACTGCACCCCTCACATACATACAGAACCCCCCCAACACACTGCACCACACACATACACAATACTTCCAAATATAAATATATATATATATATATATATATATACATACACACACACACACACACACACACACACACACACACACACTCTTAAAGGACCACTCTAGCCACCCAGACCACTTCAGCTTAATGAAGTGGTCTTGGTGCCAGGTCCTTCTAGGGTTAACCCATTGTTTTATAAACATAGCAGTTTCAGAGAAACTGCTATGTTTATCAATGGGTTAAGCCTTCCCCCAAAGCCTCTAGCAGCTGTCTCATTGACAGCCGGTAGAGGCGCTTGCGTGCTTTTCACTGTGAAAATCACAGTGAGAGCACGCAAGCGTCCATAGGAAAGCATTATAAATGCTTTCCTATGCGACCGGCTGAATGCGCGCGTAGCTCTTGCCGCGCGTGCGCATTCAGCCGACGGGGCGGATCGGAGGAGGAGAGCTGGAAAAAGGTACGTTTTAACCCCTTTCCAGAGCCGGGCGGGAGGGGGTCCCTGAGCCACATATGCATCACATTACACCACAAACACAACACGACTAAAACCGACCTTATTGCACAATACCACACCACGACCAGCTCACTCTACACACACGCAATACCACAAGCAGGCTCCAAACACATGCACAATACTCTTTCCTGGCCTTTTGTCTCCTGGTATCCATTTATAGAGACACCAGAGACAAGTTGCAAGGAAACACAGTGCAAGCATGTTATTAAAGTTGCTTGCACTGTGCAGAACAAATACAGGACTTTTTTCTCATGCTAGAGCTCTTCAGCAGAGCTCTGCGCATGGTCTGCCCTGGAAGAGCATTGAACCAACATGCTCACTTTGAGAGGAAGCGTGTTTGTCATTGGTGATGACAAAACACACCTCCTCTGCCCCGCCCCCTTTTTAGTGGGCCGCTGTGTTAAAAAAATGCCCGGGCCGAATTTTTCTCCCAGTCCGGCCCTGCCTTCTAGTGAGCAGAAGAGCAAACACAATAGCTCAAAGAGGAAGCAGATCAAAAAGGACCAGTTCTTCAAACAGAATCAGGAACCAGTGGGTTGCAAAAGCATCTTAAAGGGACACTCTGGACTCCGAAAACGCTTTAGCTTGCTAAAATGTTTTATGTGTTAAGAGTGGGCACTTTTTTTCCATTTGACAAAAAGGGCATATTTTAAAAGAAACTGGCACTTTTATAAATTCACTTTATTAAACTGCCCTAGCTGTCAATCATAAAACTGGTCCTGTTACTTCCTGGTTTGTTTTGCTCAGTGGAGCTAAACGCAAAAGGTAGCAATTGCCCAGAGAATCTGCCTTGTAAAGACCTCCTATTGAGCTGCCGTTTATGCAAGCTGTTTTCATTGGGGCATATCTCCTAAACACCTGAACAGTTATTTATATTTTTATTTGGGCAGTGGAGTGTTCCTTTAAGTGTGTGCTGTGCAGTAAAATGTATGTCATGGTCAAAGACCTAGGTCAGAACAAGCAAGAAATATGTATACTTTAGAGAGCCAGCCAAGGAGAAAAAAAAGGTCAAGAGATACAGGAGCAGGCTCCAGGATAACAGGTAAATAGCCCTAAAATCTATGATATTTCAACAGGCTGGTAGCTTTAAGATACCAATAAATTATGAAATGTGTCAAAATACAACCGACATTTGAACATACTGAAGTTTTAGTTTAGCATTGGATATAGCTCATGTAATATATCTTTGTCTGAAAGATAGCCTTGGCATTAAATGAAAACCTGAGATTAGAAAAGATAAACGGCACTGTGATTAACCACAGGAATACAGTAAAAAAAAAAAAAAAAATACAGTAAAAAAAGTTAAAATATGCAGTTAAAAAAAAAATCTTCAAGGAGCAAGAAATATAATGTAATGTTGGTGTTTCCATGCAATGGTCCATCACAAAGAACTCCCAGCTGTAATTGGAGCCATCCAGCAAAGAGGAGGAAACAATTTATATAATGATGAAAAAAAAGGCAGACACCCCCAACTGCTACATTTATCTCATTTACTGAAAGCTTTAGCTAAAATGAGCCAGCATAACTCATTGTCAGGTGTTAGCGTGGATATGAAGCTGTGTTGGAATTGATTCCAGCTGCTTATAACTAATGTACAGATGATGCAAGAACGATTCCATTATAGTAGAAAATTTTGTGCTAATGTCTTCCATCTACAGCAGGTAAGGATGTCATTAACAACTTTCACACTAACAGGTCCATCCTTATTTCACAGAAATATCTGTCCATCTGTCTAATTTCTTTCTCTTTCTTTCTTTCTTGCTTTCTTTCAAAAAGATTATCCCTTAAAATATTTCAGTACTGATTTTAATATATA